GCTTTACCTGGTCATCGAACAACGATGGTCACTGCTTCGGCCGCTTTCAGATGCGCTTCTGGGATGCCCTTCCTTCCAATGTTAGTAAGACACTGGAGCTATGCACTTTTTTAATCACCTAGATTTGAAACGAAAATTTGTTTTTTTTTAGAACTACTTTTTGCGTGTAGTTTGTTGTCCTTCGCCCGCACCTCCGATTAGCACGGTTGGCTACGTACGGTGCGAAAGAAGTTCAGTATACGTACATATCGCATGAAGAACCACAGCGAACACTCCTTTGCGATGTCACTGAGCAGAACTTGCCTTCTGGACCTTGTCTCATGTAGAATACAGGTTGAATAAGTAGGGCTACTTGGACCAGGTAAAAATTATGATGAAGCAATGTCAACTATTTACTGCATGGTTATCCAGTCAAAGGGTTACTGACGATATGCTGAAGCAAAGTTATTCTGTCATGCAAACAAGCATCCTTTACTAATCTCTTCGTTTGGTGTGTGCAGGAAACGGATTACGTGATGTCGTACTTTGAAAATGGAGAGGATTTCGGCGGTGACAGTGATGATCACATGGACGAGGCGGTGTACTAGCTTGTCGCGATAAACGGATTTCCACTGCAGCACTCTTCAAATCTACGGGTTACAGCTCACTCGTAACACTGAAGCACCGAGTGATCCACACGTAGTTGCAGAGACCAGACCACGAAGGGCTCAATTCACATGTTGCTTATTGTTCCTTTTCATGCTCTTGATGAAAACGTGCTGCCACGGTTGTGGGATGTTAACTGCCTCGCCCGGTATACAGGAGGTCGTGGGTTCGATCCCGACCCTGATGCCTGTGTATGTGGAGTTTGCATGTTCTCCTCGTGGTCGTGTGGCTTTTTCTCCGGGTCCTCCAGTTCTCCCCTGCACATTTATAAACATGCGTTTCAGAGTATTTGGTTGCTATAAATCTCGACATGATAATAAGCCACTTCGTTGAGCTTTCATTTGTGGCCAGGTCGCTAATAGTTTAAAATTAACAATTGGGTAAAACTCTTTGGCCTTTTTTTGATCAAGTTGTGAATTTAGCCCTGAGTGTGCACAGGCCCACTAAGATTCAGAACACAGTTAAGAGCAGCATATATTTGTAGAACATAATACACTGCAGTGCAGTCCATCTGAACACACATGGATGCAAGTAACACTGTGCAATATAGTACAACAGTCCACTGTGTAACACAGGTATACTAAATCGTGAACCACTACGATGTAGCTCAACAAGACACGGAAGTGTACATGTGTAACCTTAATTATGCATCTCCCACCATGCTGTTTATCACAATTTCACTTGGGTTTATTTTAAAACCTGGAAATATTTTTCAATTTTGTTTAATAAACGTGTTTGTTTAAATACTGTCAACATTTCAGTTATTTGCATTGAAGACAATGTACATTTAAAAACAGCAATGATACAGCAAGTGTGGGTATATGAAGCACTGAATGTACTTTAATGTCCTCATCACCAGGAACCAGTTGAGCTAATCTTTACACTCGTCATACCTGCAGGTCATTTGCATGATGCGTCTGCTCTTTGACAACAGAGGAAGTCGATTTCAGCACTCAGATCAGGCCACATGAACCTTGCTGTAAAAGGCTGCAAACGTGAACTTGAACATTTTAGCTGTGGCTGGCATCCACTTCCTTCAGCCCTCCTCTCAGTGCAGATGTCAGATGGGTGAGGTTTAGAACGCTGGCCCATGCAGGTGATTTGGAAATGCTGTTAATATGGTACAGGCTTCCCAGAAAAGCTAACAGGGAAGGTAGTTCCAGATAATATGTTTTATTTAGTGAATGCTTTTACACGTGACTGTCATACATTTTGAACTCCAGACATGCACCAATTGGGTCGAGGCTCAAAAGAAAGCCATCCCTTGGTGTGGACCAATCAGTTTCAAGGACAATGCATATATTATCATAGTATGTTTTTTGTTTGCATTTTGACTGCAAGTATTGTGGTTGATGCAGACATTAATCCTCGTAAAAAGGTTTTAGTTTTGTTGCCAGATAAAAGGGGAAAAATCCTATTATATTTTGGTACTGGCAAAGGAGGTCTAATGACGAAGCTATTACTTAGCAAATACATTTTCCTTGAATAGCCATACCGCGTTACACGAAACTATTTGTTTAACGTCGATCATCTGACTCCGCACCACGAAAACGGGCCTATGTTTGAGAAGGGAAATGCAACATTTTAAATTTTTCTAAATTTCTTGCTTTAAGTTTTCATAAATGTTACGCCGTTAATAATTCCAACATTTTTTTTGGACCCGTTTTTATGTGAACACATTATTGGTAGTTTTTTTCGTCCAAACATAAAAGCACTGCCCTATAATGTGTGTGTCGTGTTACCGTACGCATGAGTCAATATATTGCGTGTGCTCAAACATATCTCGAAGGGTCAGAGTATGAATGAGCATGCAAGCGCAGCGACTCCGAAACATCCTTCGATTTGGCTAAACTCTCACGGTAATCCATAATTCCGACAAGAAACATTCTCAATCACAAAACATTCTTAAAACCAAGGATCGCCCGAATATAATACACACACACAAAATACAATTATATAGCTTACTTAGACATCTATATTCCTATTATCATTTTAAACGTAAGGAAGAACTCCAATAATATCTAGAAATGTTGGTTGATAACCAAGTACAGTGCTTCACGACGGGGTATTTGAACCTCACTGTCGGCAAGCTCAGACATCTCCGTGCCGTTCAGTGGCCGATCCAGCCCCCACCTCTCACCCCTCACTCCCCCACCCTTCGCCTCCCCATTGATCGCGGCTGATGTCAGCATCTATCCCCAGCCCTCTGGGTCGCGCATGTTGTAGCTGGACGTGACAGTATTTGCTCATGCTACTGCTGGTGGAAGGACCTCCGCTAGACAGCTCTAGAGAGCCACACTCGTCGAAAATACTTGGCTGACTCTTCCATGTCTTTGGAAGAGGCGTGAGTATCCACACTTTACCCTACCACACGCGACCTGCCCAATGCACTGTGGTGTAGCCATGTATACTGCTGGGTGAACAGAGGGACGGGGAGGTTAGTTCAAGGCACTTTCCCATCATGGGAGATGGAATTGAACTGGCGACCACTTTATTTGCAAGTCCAGCATACTAAACCATTACACGGCGGCGATAGCAGAAGCATCGATGGCACGAATAAAGTAAATAAGTAAATGGCCAAACTATCCAGAAACGGTGAGTTTTTGGTTTGGTGTGTGATGAAGATTGAGCAAGCTTGAACGTGTGCCGTGGAATGAAAAGGGGTTGAGAAGAAATTGCCTCACGCATTCATCGGCAAATTCAGAATTAAAGACTAAAGCCAGCTGTAACGCGAGAAGACATTGCTGCAACAGCATATTTTGAATATTCTCAACTTACATCCAAAATGTGAACTCAGAAGCTAGGTGAAACATATCCCGCTGCACAGAAAAAGTTGTCATTGCTTTAAAACTGGTTGAACAGGACTTGCTGCGAGCTCTCTCCTCGTGAAAGGACATTCAACCTGAACTCAATTGCGCCAGAAACCTGGTTTCAGGAGGCCCTTTCTTATTTTGTTTTTAGCGATGTTCTTAAAAAAAAAGCCCCTATAGATGCCAAGATAAAGAGCACGTCGATAGTACGCACAATAGCTATTCACGTGTCTAGTTCTCGCCACGAAGGGATATAATATAATTAACTTTGCATTTCACAGCCGGGTGGTGATGTGACATCACAATACTCGGCACACAATTATAATTGTACGAGTTTAAATCATGGTTGGGGTTATCAACCGGCCAGGGTTGAAGAAATAAGCACGGTTTGTTCTATAAAGCGTTAATCGAAACATTGTGTCGTAATACATAATATAGATAGGGTAAAGCACAGCCCACGATAACACGTGAGATGCCTATGTAGGCTGAACAAGGCACTTGGGTAGCATTGAGAAAACATCCAGCAGCATCCCACCTTGTGTGTTGCTACGCCGTGGCAGCCGTACAACCGCTTATTCTTACTCGTGTGACGTAGTTCTGTTCAGTCAACAGCGTTATATCCAATTCGTATCCCTCACACATTCATGGCGTTATGTCCAACTCACGTCCTGAAAACACGCGTTATATAGCAGACGATTTAATTTTGCAGCTTTCTCAATCCACTGCTGGATGAAGACCTCCCCACACCATTTTGGTCATGGCAGTTGTCTGACCATACTTCCCAATGCAGGTTGGTTTTAGCAGAGTCCAGGACCAGTTCAGATATTACTGATGTTGGCCAAGGCCAGGAATCGAACTCGGGTCGCTGGATTCACAGCAGTGTCCTGAGCGTAGATGTGGTGACCACCCTTCTGCGCTCTTGTACAATGTTGGGGGGGGGGGGGGGGGGATTACTGAGGCAACATACATTGTGCGTGTCATTATGCAAGCCCTTTGAACTTGTCCTTCCTGTCAATTGTGTTTATTAAAATATATATAAGGAACGAAACGGTAAGACTTCTCCACAAATCTGGCTGTTGCCTGATGAAGCTGGTTGTAATTACTGGCGAAACGTCGTACTCAGATTGTAAATGTTGTGGCTTGGCTCTCCAACACACCGGTGTGCTGTACTAGTGACGAATTGGCACGTTGTTTACGTGACAATCCTTACTAGTTGGCCGTGTCGGGTGGTGGCGGGTTTTAACAACACATCTATATATTTACGTGCTATAACCCAAACACCTCTATTATTGAAGATATTGGTCGCGAAAGCCTCCATGTTAAACCACTTATATCTTGTGTTTGAATGAGAACATGTATTGCCTTTCAACATCCATGTCAACCCTCTGTGAATGGCAACAATTGTTGTTACATTGTTACCTAGTATGTGTCCAGAACTTGATTAAAACCTATACTATATCCATATTTGCTTTTTTCCTTAGCAGAGTCCATAAGTTAACACGTGACATTTCACCAGGACATTTCAAAAGAGGCTCCAAGCAAATATGTGTATAACAAATATTTATTGATCCTCGATCATTCACCAATATCCCACCTTAGCAACCATTATATTTTAAACCCACCACACAGCATAACACCACATCTCCTAATGAGAGATTATTACAAATTATTTTTCAGATATTTCCAGTTTGGGTTGGTAGCAGCACGTAAAAAAAAAAATCTAAATATAAAAATACATACCAGTGCTATACTGACCATTGAGGAAATTTGTCCCCACACAACAAATAGTTCCCTGAAAAAACTGTGACTTTTAACAGTACTAATAAAGCTAAGAATAAATTTTACACAGTGAGAAAATCAAATAACCATCTAGTGCTCTGTATCAGTTGTAAAGGAATGTCTTTCAGGACACCACTGGCTCAGGGTGCCATTGCAGCCAATTCTAATCTTCAGGCATATATGTTAAATATTCAGGCATATATGTTAAATATTCAAGCATATATGTTAAATAAAGATATATAATGTTCAGTGCTTTGTCAATCCACTGCTGGATTAACGCTTCCCTAGGCCATGTCAATAATTGGGTTTTTTGGACATTTTATCACACTGGCCCATGCATATGGATGAAGGGGGCCCAGGACAAATTGAGATTTGATTCGCCACCGATGTTAGCTGTGGACGAAGAATAAAACTCAGAAAGAGCCAGGGTTGTAGCGCATTGGTGCAACCTCCTGCCCCACCACTCCCTTTTTTTAAATATTTCACAGGATTTTTTTAAAGTGTCCAATTTAAAATGACTGAATTTTCAATGTATGGCATAACACTGATATAAAACCAACTTGGCATGGTGATGATCTACCAACCTGGGTTAATTGATCAATGAAAAGAAAACCCTAAAATTCATTTTTTTCACAAACACACTTTTTGATGCATATAAAAAAGTACGTTCTTTTGGAATATTGCAAACTAAGAAGTATTGACTGGTCATTATATTCATAAAAACACAAACTAGCTGGAACTAAGTTGCAAGCAAATACTAATGAAAACGTCATTGCAGAATAGTTGAGAGTGCTCATCCCAAATGTTGAGCTTATAAAACAGCCTATGAATAATTTCCTTACAGTAATTCACATAAGCCCCTGCTAGACCTCAAAAATGAAAACTGCTAAAAACATTAAGTTAAACGTTTATTATTTATGTGGAGGTTAAATTTCACATAGAAACTCAACACGAAGATGTATTAATTAACAAACTTCACACTTAGAAGTGGATTATCAAAAAAGCCCACAAAAATATACAGACGCCGGAATATCCTGAACATAAAATGTTCATTTTGAAATTATGCAGCAATTGCTGATGGATTTGGGTTATTATAAAGCGTGCTTGGTAACTTGATGTTCTAAAAATGTAATTGCTCAGATTGATTGTGTAGATTTGCATTTTTTCAGGTGACCAGTGCTCATCAGCAGAGGTTAATAATATGTTCTATTGCAATCGGCAACAAAGGGAATTGACCATTGTTGCAATGGAAGGGCATTTGGACACAAACACCATGATGCTGGTCCGGCTGCTGAGCACGTTCTTCCTCGGGCCCTGTGTGTTAACAAGAGGAATAAGTCAGAAGAGCAACGGCATAAGATCATTGTCATTCCAATTTTGCAAGAATATTAAGAACCACGAGTTTTCCTGGAGAACGCTACATAGGATGTATGACAGAACACACACGGCCATGGTATGTGATGTATTGTGATGGTTAAAAAAAAACGATTTTCAAAAAGCAGAGGGGCAGTTTTTAAAGAGTTCTGGTCATTAACACAAACAATACCCTCGACGTTTAAAAAAGACATGCGCTGCATAAGCTTGTGAGAAAACATAACATAACTCATCAGCCTAGCACTTGTGTAGAGTAAAAGAAAATTGGTTGACGCAAAGAAGGTTAAACATGTGATTATAAACACACATACACAATGATTGTTGTAAACAGAGATATATGAAGCAAAACTGATATATGTATGATACCTTTCTGGCATAAATACAGGTGTTAAGATGTGCAATGGCATCAAGTCTGCATTAACCACACATACTTGTGGTAAAATATGCATAAAATTTGCTTTGATAATGTATGCACTGTCCTTGAATCTGATTGGCCTACACCAGACAGCCTCAAGCATGGCTTTGTCTCACCAGTACTAACAGGAAAAAGTTTGCTTCGTCAAACTAAAATTACATTTAAGTCCATGAGCCTATAAGCATTATGGGTAAACTTTAATCATCAAGAGGTTGTTTGAGCAGATAAACAAGTAATAGCTTCATTTTCTTAGAGTCTCACCTTTCAACCTCAACACAGTTGAAGTGAAAAGATGTTTAACAAAACGAACCATTTACAATGCATAGAACCAAAATATTAAAAACGAAACATGAGCGAGTCGGAAGTATGGACAATGAAGGAAGAAAATTCTATGATTGCAGACTGCAGCAGCACAATGGAAAAAATATGCAATGTTTCAACATAGAAATTGGTGAAAGGTTGACAGAAGCTGCCGAGTTGTGGAATTAAACGATATATAAGCTACCAATCTTCAAGCTCCCCTTTGGGAGTTACATCGGCCTTGTGGGTAGATGAGAAGCACCTGTAAGATGAGGCCTTGTTTGTGGAGGATTCTTCTTCTTCTAAGGCTTAGGGGCGGCTACAAAAATGAAGAGAACACAAAAGCACCATCAAGATCACCCGTAAGAGCAGTTAATATCATAACAACACACAGCCCAACTATAGACACTTATGTAGCATTTAAAAAAATCCCTTGCCAATATATTGAATTGTTAGTACAGCTTTGGTGGATTGATTAATTAAGAATATTTTAAATCACGCACTTTTAAATAACTCGGAAATCATAACAGTTTTAATTATTTACAACACCGATCTCGAAATATCAGTTATGAAATGGTCCACCAGTGTACGCTCATAAATAAACAAATGTGTCCATTCATTGAATAAATATGCCGCCTTCACGTAATTCACCATTACGACTTTTCACATTGAAATAGGGACACAATTGAATTGCAGACTGGTATTTGAAATGGATAGCTCATTTACATTAATAATTAAATTGTCTCAATTCCTTAGCCACAAAATGCTTCAAAATAGTTTTCTGCGGAAGCACACGTCACCATAAAAATGATCCAGCCACCAACTACAATATCTGCTATTTTTACATTTCATAGCATTCAATTATCAGAATCAGAATCTTCAATTAGACTGAAGCAATCTGATGAGCTATGAAGCTCGTTTTCACAGATGTCCAGTATAGTCGGGTCAGTGAGTTAGACCAACAATTTAACATTGCACTTGTACATTAATGTGCATTTCTCAAATCTTTCAGCTGGAAATTACATTAGAAAGTTGTAAAAGTATCTGTAATGTGCAACGCAAGTGCTATGATGTCAATGTTGATGCCTAATATTAGATCCTGACATTTTGGTTCCAAGTAAACCAGTGAACAGGACATACCCATTCATAACAATTTCACACATAAGAGACCGAGTGACTGTATGACGCAACAATCTTGAACAAAATTAGTATTTATTTGAATAATTATTGTGATTCAAATTACGAGCCAATTCTCTTTTTTGCCTGCGTGTTGTAGAATGCAAAACGGTTGCTGGGTTTCCAAGAACCAATCTCACAAAATATACCAAGAGGAAATAATCCATTCCTGTACACGATCCTTGCATAAAATGCAAGTGACAGCATCGATTTTTTTTGTATGAATCGTTACATCCGTAGTTTCCCCTCTTTGTGCACAAAGAGGGGTAACTACGAGCCTCTCATTGTTGAGACATCTTCTGCAAACGCGTGCAGCGTGTTTGTAACAATACCTTTTTCCGTTTCTTTTACTTCATTCTGCCGGGAGAACAAAACAACACGCTTTTAAAATGTGACTTCTTCAAAATGGATCACACACGGGTATACATTGGCAGCGGCGATGATATTTTAACTCTGACCCACCAATGCAACACCTGGCCTGAACCTAGAACACTCATCCGTGTAGCGTTGTGTTCATTCTCCCAGTGCTTTTCTTTGCAGTTTCCCAACATATGGACATTTGTGCACATTAAATAGAAGTGGGTCAAGGTAAACGATTTATTATAATGATCAGTGATAAAGTGACACACACACAGCAATGCAAATTAGACAATTATGTTGAAAAAATAATCTTCAACGTGATGGCCAAAATGGTGACTCAACAAATGAAACTTGTAATCGTGCACACTACGACAAACCAATTAACCTAATAAATAAAAGTAAAAAGTTCAACGTGCAATTACTTACGCTGGTGGCGATATATATAACCAAAAAAGAACTTCGTACCTTTTTGTTTGTCAGCTGCTTAATTCTTTCTTCATAGTCAGCCTGCATATCAGTCTTCTGCTTCTGGCATTGTGCGCTAGTTGACGGATGGGAAGCAAAGGTGACACAACAGATTAGGTTGAACGTCATGACACTTTATTAATGGTCTTGAGCTATCGACTTTGAAAATGTACGTAAAGTTCTGGAACACATTTTAAACCCGTAGTTGTGCAGCAGAAAGGCGTTGAGCAGCGAGAGTGTCTCAACTCCAAAGTGAGTTAGGGTTCAGTAGCGTTAGCTTTGACCGTATCTCGCAGCAATGCACTCTGAATGCCTGCTTAGTTGCAGGGATTCTTTTGAGCACAATTACAGCTCTACGCATGAATCAAACTTATTTATGGTTTACAAACTTTTTTTCCCGTTTTTTAGGTCAATCGTAGTTTTTTTGACTTTTTACTTTCAAATGTAGTTTTGATTTCTGGATATTTTCCAGTTGCAGTTTCTTATTTTTCAGTTCAAGGTAATAATTTATCGTGTTTTTTAAAAGGATTGTTTATTGTAGTCTTTGTTTCAAAAAGTCAAGCTAAGATATATTTATGCTCACATGAGCATGAAGGAGCAGTCCCTTAGTGTTCCTGAGACTTTTAGTGGTCCAGTGTTGATTTTCATTACAATTACTTAACATGGACCTTGGTGTGAGTCCTGTGTTCGAATTGAAACTGAGTTAGGATTGTCAATATGCTATCATGAGGCCTCCTTTGCCAGTACCAAAATATAATAATAGGGTTTTTCCCCTTTTTCCTGGCGATAAAACTGAAACCTTGTGCAAGGAATAATGTTTACATTAACCACAAAACCCCGAGCCCTCACTACTCTGATAATGCGTTGTCTTTGAACTGTACACCTTTTGGCGTCATCTGGTCGAACACCGTATGAGACTCGGCTCTAACAAAAGCTGTCTCTGGTGTGGACCAATCAGTTTCAAGGACAATGCATAAATGATCAGAGTGTTGTTTTATGTTTGCATTTTGACTGCAAGTATTGTGGTTAATGTAAAATTATTATAGTTTAATTTCAAGTTTTTGGGAACCAAAGTAAAACATTTTTTTCATATAAAGTAAGTGTAATGACGTCCGTCCAATAACTGGATAGAGGTCACTCATGACGGAGTACATAATGTGCTTTAAAACAGCTATGAGGCTTAAACATACAGTATGCTAAGTAGACAATCTATGTATACATTGTACGTATTATTGACATTTTAATATATCCGACAGACATTAAAAAAGACGTTTCAAGTGTTTTGGTTATTGTGCAAGATAAAAGCCAATTTAAGAAAAGCCAATTTAAGAAATTCCCTTTCAGAACTATTCTCCAACATGGAATTGGGCGATAGACCTTGTGTTCATTATGTGAATGATGCCTATCACTCTCAATTCGTTTCATGGCCTTGGACCAGGTAAGTGCCCACTGAGCTACATTACTCTCATTTCATGAAGTGGGCCCATGTCACACTGAGCACTAAGAGTTTACTTGTAAAGCCAATGCCACAGACTGACCCAGCTAGGGCCTTCGGTCAAGCATGGACAGAATACGGGCAATGGAATATATATATAGTCTTTGCACGGCTGTCATGAGTGACCATAATTATGGGAGTAGAGTAATTGCATTTTTTGGCATTGCATTGGGGGAAGTTACAGTCAGGTTTGGAAAGTATGGTTACATTTTATTATTGAATGACGTTTAGGCTCACAAAAATAAGGTATGCAGTGTAAATGTTATTTTAAGTACGATAGATTACGGTTTGGAATGGGTTAGAGTTAAAATGTTCAGTTTGGACTATATCTTTCAAATAATAATAATAATGTCAATTATATACTGAGGAAAACTTCACTTAGTCTCAAAAGTCTTTTTCAGGAGGATCCTGCATTGGGACGTTTGACCAATACCATTAGTGTTCAGCATGTAGGAGGGAACCAGAGTACCCGGAGAATCCCCACATATACACACAAGGGGGTAACACTCAATACTTCCAACTCCTTGCCGTGTTGCAGCCCCACAGCTACAACAGCTGCCAAACACCGTTGGCCACCCATACAAATACAATCAAAGGTCAACGCTGCTTATCTTCTGACACCCAACTAGAATTCGTAAATGCATGGTGATTTGGTTGTCGATATCATTGGCCATAAGAAGTCATAGATGGCTTGATTATCTGGTTGTAGCTGTCAATCGTAAGTGCTGTCACAAGGGTTTTAACATTCACGTGACAGTAGCTGGTCGACTTTGGTGACTGTCCATTGGTTACGAGGGTGGCACAGTGCGGAATGAACCGATCGGACAACATGCACAATTGGCACCCAACACTAACCACGTGCTCAAGTTACACCAGCGCTGTCACAAGCATGCTGATCTCCATGTAAACTAGCCCATTCATCAAATTCGGATACGGTAAAAAAAACACACGTGTAACTGGGAACATGGCTTTTAGGGTCAAGCTGGGAACATTAGCCACAATAGCACACCACTGTGAACCGCTGACATTACTCTAGCGTGCCATTCACAAGATTTGCTTTGCAGCCATAACAATGTACAGTGCACCTGTAATATAATTACTCCTTTTGTCACCATCAGCAGCAAAGTGCAGAAAAAGCTTTTTAAAAAATCGCACCAAAGTGTGGCAAAAATGAAGAGAAATTATGGATGAAATTTTCATATAAATAGCTGATGCAATGCAACTGGTTAATATGACCTCATCCTAAGAATCAGAATCTTTATTTAGACGGGAAGATTCCTATGAGATATAAAGCTCTTTTTCACAGATGTTCAGTAGGGGCGAATAAGAAAATTACAATAACAGACAATACAAAAACAGGAGTGCAAAGTAGAGAAAGCTTAGCAAGTCAATAAATATAAAGTATGTAAGTACAAATTGCATAGTACATACATTTAAGATTGGCTGCATTTTTCATGTCAATTCCACATCATGCATTGTAACATTTTACAGATTATACTTGTTATATATTCAGCAAAGTACAGCTATAGTTATCAGGAGTACAGGATTCACCCTCCCTGGAAATGATCTGACTCGTCTAAATTCAGAGTCTGGATTTCATCCAGAAGTTAACTTTTGTTTGTTAACTGCTCGAGTGGTTGCAAGGGTCACGCGAACCCATCGCACGCAATGCCACGCAACGCGTAATGAAACTAACAACCACACGCAATTTCAGCATGAATTGTGAGCTTTACAATTGATGTTATGCAATTTATTTCACCACGTTATGTTAGGGAAATGGATTTCTAACGTAATGTTATATTGGTAGCTTCTTTTAAAAAGTGTTGCACTAATACTGGAAAACTAATTTTATTTTACCAGGTAAGGCCCACTGAACTATACAGCTCTTAAGCAACCTGGCCACAAGTTATAGCTCAACAAAGAGGCTCATCATGTGGAAATTTATAGCAGCCAATACTCTAAGTGCATGTTTCTAAATGTGGAGGCATAAACGAGAGGACCCGGAAAAAAAAATCCACGTGACGACAGGGAGAACATGAAAACTCCAATATACAGGTGTCAGGGTCGGGATGGCATTGTTGCTTTTCACAATGCCATACGAAAGAAGAAGGGTCGGGATCGAACCCACGACCTGTGTACCAGGCAAGGTAGTTAACATCTCACCACGTAGTGTTCCAGAACAATAGCACATGATATTTACACCAGACGACATCAAGACAGCTATATTACTGCAGTCTTAACAGTTTGCTTGTTTGAATAACTAGATGCCCATTTAATGGGTGCACAAAGGAATCGGAGTTGTCAGTCTCTTGCATTATGCAATTTACCGGTGAATACCATTAGATGAAATGGAAAGAATGCCAAAAGCTGCCCATCCCTTTTTGTGTAATGTTGAAAGAATGAGGGACTCAACAACCCATAAACCCACCAGACTGCTTTTCATGTTGCCACATCACCAAGAAATATCACGTGACTAGCTTGAAACCTGTTTTATTTTGCACATATTAAGTGTACCATTTAACCAAAGATGTTAACTCTGAAGATAATAGACCACTTAAGGTTTTAAAAAAAAAAGGGAATACGTGAAAATGTAATTATTTTGCTATAACCTCCACCAACACAGAGGTGACCAACTCAGGCCATCATCCCTCGAGGGTCTATAAAATAGGCACCAATAATAGGTTTGCTTTCAACAGATGAATCTCCGCAAAAGAAATGGCCACCACTCACAAATAGCTGCCAATGGAGACAAACAACACTGATGCTCATTTGAGACTCGAGTTCTCAACCAGGGCTAGTGCCAAGTGAAATTTCTAACACGGAGAGCACTTACTTCTCTTGTTGGATGGTACTTATCTGGGCACCACAGTCCTTCTTAGCAGCGTCAAGGTCAGCCTCCACCTTGTTCTTTTCTGCCTCCAGGGCAGTAGTATGCTCTGTAGGACAGCACCCAGAAACACACAAATACAACGAGCACACAAACATGCGCGGGGCATGAAGATACATTCAAGTGAATTCAACACCTAGGCTTTCGCGTCTAATGTTACGATTTATTTTTTGGGTAGATAACGTAAGTAAAATGTATTTAGTAAAAACCCTCCTCCACCCGACACAGCCAATCAATAGAGTTGCCACGCAAGACCCGGAAAAAAATCCACACAACCACGGGGAGAAGATACAAACTCCAAATATACAGCAGGCGTCAGGGTCGGAATCGAACCCACGACCTCCTGCATACCAGGCGAGGTAGTTAACATTTTGCCACCGTGACGCCCCACTTGGCTGGTTGGCGTCTAAAGTGTCCATCAGTTGTTCCTCATGATCGTCATTAATAATTTATATATATATATAAATATATTATTAGACGTGTAATTATTTTAATGAGTTGTCTGCATTATTGAATAAAGGAATGTATTGTTCATATGTCGTGGTAATACTGTTAAAAACATAACATTAATGAATGATAATTTACCCTTTCCTCCACAGCTCAGGATGACCATTAACACAGAATAGGTAGATGGAGGTCATTTAATTTCATAAGTGTTTCCTGTTAGGATGTTCTGACAGGGTGGGTTTTCATTAATTGCATAAATGATTGCTCTTTTGACCTAAGCAAATACAATCTGAAGGGTACACACAGCTTTAATAATGGGTACGATTTGCTTTTAGCCTGCTGGATTTCAAGTCGTAGAAGTCAAATCGACGTTAAGTAAATCAAACAGCTGAGTAAATATCAAGGAGCACACGTATGCCCTGGGTGCAGCTTTTGTGAAAGGAAAGGATGACATTAACCGGAACTAATGTCCACGTATTGTCTTTTTAACAAAGGCATATACTGTTCCAGGCCATATGCAATGTGTGTGCAGCCTTCTGACCATTGCTTCTCTTAAGAAGTTTTTAGGCTTTTAAAGCTTCATAAACAATTCTACCGAGTCATGGCAGTTGACGTTTTCCAGAGATTGTATGTTAACGTGTTTTAGTGTCCCGAATTCCTTAACGGAGTTTCTACATGAGCTGGAGTGCATAAACCCTCACTTATATTAGCCGCAGGAAACTTTTGATTCCCGCTCACAGCCAACACCAGTGACGATTATCTGAACCAGTCCTGGGCCTCCCCTAGGTCTAATCAGCCTCAAATGAGTACCTGGTGCACAATGTGTAAACATCGCCACTGGGGAGACAAAGGCCCCTGGGCGTGGTGCTGGCCACCCACCCCCTTGTGTGCCGTGCCGACCTTCTTAGGTGCTCGCTAACAGCACTTGCCCCAACTGTCTGTTCAGGTTATACGGGAGGTCTTTATTTTTGTGTTAACAGATAATTTATTTTTATACAACAGATTTGATAAAGCTCATTAATAACCCTCACATCTTTTATTTTGCCAGCCCTCACTCTTGTGTGCATTGTTATAAATGTACCCATTCCAAGCTTCATTATTCACATTTATAAATTATCCTTGACACTGTGGGCATAGGCTACCTGTATCCTGTTTTAGATCAATTATTCACTTGCATACTCATAACCCTCCTACTAATTTTCCTCTCCTCTACGACTGTTGCTGCTGTTTGGAACTCCCTCTGTCTGGCTTTCCACACGTATGCCTAAACTCTTGCTTTAAAGTTCAGGCTAAAGACCATCCTATTTTCTTCTGCCTAAGACTGACAATTTCCATCTACCAAATGGCACAATCAGTACAGAAATCACCTTCTCCAACACTCTCCTGTCACAAAATGTCACCCTTTGCATGACCAATTAAGAATTTTCCCCATGACTTTAAAATGCACGTCTTGCTCTTTGCTTAACGTCTTGGGATCCAGTCCCATTCAGACACTTTACATTTTAAGTTGTGATTATAATTCATCACGTTAATTTATATTTTTAAAAATATGCCGCCCTTTTGATGGATTATATTAAAATAGATATATGGCAGAATATGAGCCAAGTAAATTCCTATCATAAAGAATTTGACTGGAAGTACAATGAGGCCACTTCATTAATATAGCCGCTCTGTCCAATGATCTTACCCTTCAACTTGTCCAGTTCTGCAACCTGTTCCTTTTGCTTGCTCTGAAAGACAAAAAAAACGTAAGGAAAACATTAAACTGTGACATATTCCCCTCCCTGCACCTGCTCTGATGATTTCGGTGTGCCTGATACCGCCGATGCACCTGCAACTACCGCCCGTAACGTCAGAATGTTAATCTAAACCCGTCAATGTATGACGTGAGGGAGGAAGTGGAAAAAAAATATTTTATATATCAAAAATAAACCCGTGACATATCGACTTAAGCACCGCGGTGATATTTACCGCAAAGCTTAATTGTGTAACCTCTGGACAAAGGTTTAAAACTACTTAAGACCACATTGAAATAAAAAAGATGAGAAACGCTTATTAAACACAAACACCATTTCGGAGTTGGCAAAAGACGACTTCAGTGCAAAAATAATGCCCCCCCCCCCCCACATAATCGCTGAAAATCTTTCCCCACTTTGCAATCAGTTTCCATCGGTGGAACGTGATGTCATCTGAAAATCTTTCCCCACTGTGCAATCAGTTTTCATCGGTGGGACGTGATGTCACGTGATGTCATCTGAAAACTGGGTAAACCTGAAGACAGAGCCAGGCTGGAGCTCAGGGGTGACAACACAATTCCACATGGTTTGTGATCCTCCTCCCTTCACATGGCAAAAATGCAGGTGTCTGCTTGTGGAGCAGGGTTGGCATGGCGCCAAGGCCTCACCGTGGCGTGTTTGCCGCTTGTTTCAGAGGCTCGCAGTTCGAATCCAGCGGCCGCCCCTATCAAGTTTCATTTATTTAGGTATAGCCCTGTGAGCCATGCGGCTCTTGAGTCGGGTGCAACCGCAACAAACAAAATATGAACAGAGAAACATCTTAAAGCGACGACGACGCGCAACAGAAACATCCTGGATAAACCAGCAAATCTTCCATAAAAAATTACAAAAAAATATCGATACTGTGAGTGCATTAACTGTGAAAATACTCGGTGGATGTAAAAAAGATCCCGCGATGTAATTTACAAGAGCAGGCCATTGTGTGCCGGCATAATGGTAAAAATGTTTAAAATTTTAAAAAATACCTGCAAAAAACTTCATTGATTTACAGGAAAATGCCCCTTCTCTTGTTGGCAGATCCGAATCAACATGAAAGTAACTATATATGCATTACTAATAGAACACTATTAATGGCACTTGCTACGTTCGCAATGGGCTACCTTTTTTTACTTTACCCTTGCACACATAGTGATAGTGATGAAATCACTCTTTGATGTACCCGATGGCCTGCTGGAATTTGATCATGCTTACACATGTTTCCCAAACGTTGTTTCTCAATAGCGGTCCCTCGTCAGCAGCTAAACAACATTTCTCAAAATCTTGAGAGAGAAACAACCTTAGCATCACCAATTCAGGAAAAACTGTCCACTCAACTCAAAACCGTGCTGCACCTGTTTTGACCAGGATCTTGTTCATGCTGCACATTACATTCACCACAAAATGTAGCCAATGCAGTCTCACACGCTTTAGGAGTCCACTCAGAGCACTTTCCTCAGCCATTGTAGATGCAAGACAAAGATCCCCCTCATATTGCAGCCTTAACTTATGGTTGGGGCAAGTTCTGTTAGTGAGCGGCTATGAAGGCCAACGTGGTACACGAGAGGGAGTGTGTGACCAGCACCACGCCTGCCCGCCCATCTTTGTCACCCCAGTGGGAATGTTTACACACTGCACCAGGCACTCATTTGAGGATGAGTCGACTTAGGTGAGAGCCAGGACAGTTTCAGATAATCGTCACCGGTCTTGGCAGTGAGCGGGAATCGAACTCGGGTCATTGGGTTATCAGTGTGCGGTGCGTCAACTGGCACACCACAGCTGCCCACAAACACACACACACATATGTAGTACACACGAGGGTGGAGGGGGGGGGGGGTAAATGAGAACCTACCATCTCATCTATGTTGGACTGCAGGTTGCTCTGGCATATGGAGAGGTCGTTGGAGGTTTGCTTGACCTTGCTCTGATCATCTAGGGAGCGGCTCTTGAGGCCCTGCGCCTCGTCCTCGAGTTTGGTGACCGTCTGCTCGGCACGCTCCTGCAGTAGCGTCACCAGCTCGAGCTGGTCTTGCAGCTCGGAGACGCGCGACTCGGCCCACAGGTAGCAGACGCCCACGCCGAGCAGCAGCACGGCCAGCAGCCCGGTCAGCGCCGGCGAAGCAAGTGTCCCTCGCATGTTCATGCTGCAACAAACAACGCAGCGGCGGTCGTTAACTCAGGGCGCCACTGAATCGCGGCGCGATACTTCACTGTTTGTTATTCATTCACTTTGTATTCCACCCCCCGCCCCCTCCATAAAAGTTTGATCCCACTTGTACGATCCGTGTCAGTTTCACGAGACGGAGCATTCATTAGGAGCTGCTTCCAAATTGAGATTCATTCTTACGCAAGGGGAAGCACATTTTCATTCAGGAAAGTGCCCGTGAAAGCAAATTAAACTTTGGGGGAAGCACATCTGCTGCAGATGAATGTTAGTGGCATGGTAGTCTGATTTAAATGTATTTATTTATTCTCAAGAGGAGAGATTTTTGCCAAACTGACCGAAAAGAACTAAGGGGCCGTCCATAAATGACGTCACGCACCTGGGGGGGGGGGGGTCAGACATTTGTGACGATGTGTGCCGAGGGGGGGAGGTTTAGAAATGTGACGTCACATCAAAATGCGCAACTTTAAATAAATATAGACAACACGTTCTACTTAATGACAATAGTTGAAAGCGATTTGAAGCTTTAAACTATTGTCATTTTTTTTGGGGGGGGGGGGCAGAGCTTTGTGACATCATATTTGAGAGGGGGGGTCTGACTTTTTATGACGCCGTGACTGGGGGGGGTCAAAAATCGTCCAAAATCACGTGACGTCATTTATGGACGGCCCCTAATTTAATGCGATAGATTGTTTAGTCTTTAGTAAGACCGTTAAGTCACTATAGCTATGAAATCAGTTTAATCACGGGTGGCTATCCAGATTCAAGCACAGAACTGCAGCGGTCCTGGTTAATTATTATGATCCTTGTACCACTCAGCCATATCGAAATGTTCTTCATTTAACCGAGTAAGCCATGAACAAGGTGACATATTTAATTCGTAAGGGAAAACTCATGGTAAATACAAGGGGAGCAATATACACTCTACAGGAAACTGTACTGTAATATACGAGTAATTGACAAAACTGAGCTTTGGACTATGAGATAAGTAAATAATGACCTCCTCCCATAGTGCAGTGCACTAACCACTGCGGTGGTGGAGTAGTCGGTGCACACCGCTATGAACCCAGAGCCCTGAGGTAGAAGATTCCTAGTCAATGCTAACATCAGTGGCGAGTGATAAATGAACCGGTCCTCGACATCCAAACCCTTTGAGTAACCCTTACTGACCATCGTTGTGAAGTATGGTCAAACAACTCCATGAACTATATGGTGTGGGGCAGCTTTTGTCTAGCAGTGTAACACAGAGCTGTAAATGTAAGGTGATTGTTACTTTCAGCTTTCTAACGAGAAATGACAGAAGGCTGAATGTGGCACAATAATAGGCGGGTCTGCACCTACAACTCGTAAAGTCTGAAAAACTATTTTTTTGTTTATTTGGACGCCCAACCATTACAACGCAGAGGCTTATTTATTTTTACTTATAGGGCAGGCTCAGCTTAATGTTCCATAAAAAAATACAATTACAGCCCCCTCTCATTCCCAGCATGCATGTCAGTCCACTGCTGTATGAAAGCCTCCCCTCACCCCGTGTAGGCCTTAGGGGTTGTCTGATCACGCATTCGCGCTGGTCAGTGCGGGTTAAAGGACTGGATATCACCTGCCGCTGACATTAACCACGGCCTCAAATTTTACTCAGTTTACCGGGTTAACAGCAGAGTATGCCAACCACTGTGCCACCGCTCCACCTCCTGATGTTCTACAATGCTTTCAATAATATTGTGTCCACATTACGTTCCTGCTCGCAATCCCTACGCGAGTGGGGCAGTGAGCCAAAGTTTCTCACCTTCCCTAAACCCAGGGGCACTGAGTTCGGGCTTCGGTCTGCGGTCCCTTCTCTTGTTACAGCTCGTGCTTATTACCAGGCTCTTGTCAAAACAAACACTTTTGACCACATTTATATATATAATTCCTATCAGTGAACCAAGTATTTCACCTCCCATACATTCAAACTGGAGTGCATATGCCGCTTCCCACCCTGCCTGCTGCAGTGGAAGGTGGAAGAGCTCAGGCCAAATACAAGTTAGGAACGCAACAAGCCTACGACCTTCAGGTGAAAATATTTTGGGATAACTAAAATCCTTAGTTAAGATTTAAATTGGAACTCTCGCAGAGGGCAGTACATCAGCGCCTGGAAGATGATAACAAGGCACTACCATCGGAGTCTCTTCAATCTGACACTCATGCCACATACACGTCTGTAAAACCAATTCTATTCAGCTCTTAACGGTGATCGAACTGAGACTCATGCACTTGGCAAGGCTGACTCTGCTGATGAGAATATATATCAAAGCTTGTCCAGAGTGTGCTTGCCTTAAAACAATGCTGCTGAAATTATGCACTCCGAGAGGGCCTGCAGCTGACGGGTTAAGAAATTGTTTTGATATGGAGACGGATATGTGAAAGCGAAAATGTTTGCTTGTTTGCTTTGTCACGTATATTCTCCACAACCGCTGTTAATGATTACTTAGAAACTAATAAGCTGGCCGCACTTGAAACCTGACTGAATGGCGGGTGACTGCCTGGATACAAACAATGAACTTGGTGGGGCTCAGCTAAGTGAACATGAGCACGTGACCCCTGAGGCACTCTGCCACCTCACTGCCCACCATTTTGTGCTCGGACGATATCAATGGCTGTGGCAGCCTGTCACTCGTCGACATTAGGAATTGGTTTACACATTTCAACCCGGTTCTTTCGGTAAAGTCACGTAGAATGAGAATAAAATAATAAAATAAAACAATAAAAATCTCACGACGTTTTACTTTATTATTTTGTTCTCATTCTACGTGACTTTACCGAAAGAACCAAAGAAGATGAATCCGTGCAGTCACGAAAGCTTTAAATCGAAACATTTCAACCCATTTACAACATGCATGTACAGAGTGTACATCATCAGCCATGATTACTCCACTGCTGAATGAAGGCCCCGCAAAGTTTCCACCACCATCTGTAATAATCCCATAATGTAATAATCTACCCAACACTTGCACAGGATCTGGTTTAATTGATCCATCTCTTCAGTGCACGACCTCTCGAACGCGATCCATTCCTTGGCTACAAATCTGTGACTATTCTTGAACATCGGGTGCATGTGCTGTCCAATCTACTTACTTTTCTTCACAGTTTGCACCATGTTTTTAGACGACATGTCTTGTCTAAGCCACGTGTTCCGGTGCCTCAATGTAACTTTTAAGCAGGTATATATTTGCACGCTTCGTTGCGTGCCATTCAGTGTGCAAAGAAGCAGGATTTTTTTGGTTTGTTAAAGTGTGCGTGGATCTTGAAATTATTTCTGCAGACAGTAAATGTAACATGACTTATGATATATCTTTTCCAAGAGGTTAAGCTCAGTTTAAAAGCTCTCAGATACATCGGGATACCTTCGGCAATCATTAGTCATGCGTATGATGTGTAAGGGCTTAATTTGCATTGCCATGGAGACTATAGGCAAAAGTGGGAGATGCACCACAGTGAGTTGCAATGTCTAGAGGCTGTGAAAGCCTCGCTAAAAAAAATCACGGGCGATTAACCCTGATACAGGCTGGAGGCATTGGCTGTTACCAAAAATCAAACGCCAATTGAACATTCACCATTGCGGTAGCAGGCCCTTTATACCATTACCACAATGAGAGGCATGAAACAAACATGTCTAAGCATATAAGCAGACCCTCATGAGAATTCGTTTTAAGACTTAAATGAGAATTGCTCATGGGTAACTTGCAAAACGCATTAACTACATTAAAAAATATATACAAAAACTCATAATTAAAAAAAATATACAAAAACTCAGTGTTGAAGCTACATTGATAGACACATGTACCCTTACAAACATTAAAATATATTGTCAAGTTATATCTCAATAATAATCAAATATACTTTAAAGTAACCACTGTGGTTGCCACCACCATCTTATCAACAATGTTGTTTGCCAAGGAGTAATTTTATCCATTTAATAATCATCAACATCAACTGCATTGAATTTTATTCTTACGGTTTAGTACTTTCCATGGCCTGGTCAAACATCAATTCATCTGCATATAGAAATGTCCTCCATTGTGAAGCTGATTTACGTAGTTTACCGATATATTAATATACAGTTGACAACATATTTACAACACGCAGTTTTGTTTGCATAATACAACCGTTCTAACCAAAACATTTGAGAATAAACGACCCCCTTGGGATGGATTATACTCTGCAACAGTTTGCAAACGACAATTTTCACTATTGTAATAAAATGTTGCACGAAACTGGTTTAATTTCCTCTGTGAAAATTTGGCCAGTTTGGACCACGTAAAATTGACTACCTAGGAGTCATTATATTGTACGACATGCTACAGCCCTAGATTTTTGCGAAAATATCATTTTATAACACATTTTGATCACGGTTCAGTTTAACCTATATACTCTTTGGGTCTTTCGGTAAAGTCACGTAAATAGAAACATAACAATAAAAATCAGGCCTGCTGTATTTTTTCCCCTGACGGCGATTGCCTGTGTTGCGATAGAAACGTCGTGATTTTTTTTTTATAATTTTTCTTCTATCCACGTGACTTTACCGAAAGACCCAAAGAGTATGAATTCCTGCAGTCACGAACGTTTTAAGTCAAGATTTAACGTATATGTTAAAGTTAGATGCAATACGGTTATTGTAAACGCCTGTGAATTTGGGATTGGTTGTATGTATACAATTTAATATCCCAGTTTATGCACAAGACTTTAAAATATATGCAATAATACATTACCGTATTTGAGCCATTGGTAACGTTGGCTCCTTCAGACTTTATATCCTTGGCAAACAAATACAAAATCTACCGCACCTAAGCCTTGGTTAGAATAGCAGCATCAATGGTTTAGAATCTGCCATAAATGTGTGAGAGTGGTGTGTGTGGCATGTCCATACCGTGACAAAGAAGAAGAGCAGTGGTTGTGTGTATGTTTCCAGTCAACCTTTGCAGGAAGAACATTCCCCCCACCCTCTTACGCAAATAGAATGTCCCGAGGGCTGAACCGATACTCGTGCAACCTGAATGTCTTCTGTGCGACAAGACAGATGCTTGTCTTTTGGTTAACACCAGAGTTAAACCTAGGTTTTCAATTCATATGGACACATTTATATATTTTCAGTGTTAAAAGTGATGCCTCTTAGAGACAAGAGAGGATTAAAATAATTTAAGTTGGGGAAAAAAAGCATTTGTATCCAATCCCTGGTTTACACGCACCAAGCCCAATATTTAAATATAAGTTGTTTGCCAGGTTGGATCAGTTAAAAACCGGTTTCTCTCCACCTGAGTAAAGGCTGTCTTCTTCTTCAGTTGGCACGTTTGCACTTATTTAATATGCTTCGTTTAACAATTTTGCGCGAAATAAATGTCACTCATGTCAATACATTTGTTAAATTCATTTTAAACGTGGCATACACCCTTTTCAGCTTTTGATGTTAGGGGCCGTCCATAAATGACGTCACGCGATTTTTGACCCCCCCCACAAGTCACACGACGTCACAAAAGGTCAGACCCCACCCCTCAAACATGACGTCACAAAGCTCTGCCCCCACCCCCCTCCCCCAAAATTTTTAACATGCTTCAAGTCGCTTTAAACTATTGTCATTGTAGTGCGTATTTAATGTGGCGCTGCACTCTGATGTTGTAAGAGAACACATTTATTAAAAAGTCTATTTAATTGAGTAGAACGTGTTCTCTATATTTATTTAATGTTGCGCATTTTGATGTGACGTTACATTTCTCAAACCCCCCCTTCCCTCGTCACACATCGTCGCAAATGTCTGACCACCCCCCACCCCCCCTAGGTGCGTGACGTCAATTATGGACGGCCCCTAATTGCAGACATTCTTTAATGACATTCCTTTGGCTTGAATACCCAGCACAATAATTACCATCTCAGTGGAATGTCCACCACAGGGCTGTCGATGGCGGGAAGTGATAATCCAATTGTTCATTGGAACAAGGACTCAGTGGCTTTTTGACAGTAATAGTAAAATGCAAGTGAGATACTGTATTTATTAATTGCTTCTACTTTTGTAAATAACAAGAGTATTCCCACGGCATATTTAGCCACAGATCCACAAATTACTTGAAACTTACGGAGGCTTTCCTAGTTAAATCATTATTATACTTATCTGAAGATTGTACCGATGACAGCTTGTGCGGTGGTACACTTTGTTATTAATGCAGTCAGTTATTACTCGACTGCATTTGTAAATTATTGTTTTTAACCTTTGGATGATTTCCCCCCCCCCCCCAAGTATTCACTAGAAACATTAGGGGCCGTCCATAAATGACGTCACGCGATTTTGGACGATTTTTTGACCCCCCCCCCCCTTCGTCACACGGCGTCACAAAAAGTCAGACCCCCCTCAAATATGACGTCAAAAAGCTCTGCCCCCCCCCCCCCAAACATAAACCATGCTTCAAATCGCTTTAAACTATTGTCACTGTAGTGCGTATTTAATGTGGCGCTGCACTCTGATGTTGTAGGAGAAATCATTTACTAAAAAGTCTATTTAATTAAGTAGACCGTGTTGTCTATATTTATTTAAAGTTGCGCATTTTGATGTGACGTCACATTTCTCAAACCCCCCCCTTCGTCACACATCGTCACAAATGTCTGACCCCCCCCCCAGGTGCGTGACGTCATTTATGGACGGCCCCACAGGGAAATTGAGTTTTCAGGTCCATACGGCGTACAGTCATTTCAATATGGCAATTTTTTGTTTTTGTCCATTTGTTTGTGTTTCCCCCTTTTAATGGGACTTCGTAGGATGAACGTTGATATTAAGGGAACGGGGTGACCAATAAGGTATGTAATAAGGTAGGCACTCATATTATTTGTCTCTTTCGGTAAAGTCACGTAGATAGAAAACAACGAAATGAAAAACAAAAAAACTCACCACGTTTCGATCGCAACACAAGCGCGGTCGCCTGAATTCCTGCAGTCACGAAAGTTTAAAATCAAAATTTAAGGTAGGCACTGATGAGGCTTGACAGGTATATAGAAGGGGGGGGGGGGGGCCCAGGCGGTGCATCGGCCAGTCATCTCAGTCAGTCAAACCCATGGCACCTGCTGGATCTGTCCTGTGACCTCTTATCAGCGGGCGTTCGACACTTCACGTGGCCGTCACGTGCACATAGCCATGGCACAAGCGCCGTGGTGAATGACGAAAGATAAGAATAGGTTTTACTCGTTTTTGGCAATAACACAGGGTAGTGTTACGATGTTCAAACACGTGTAAACAAACATGCTCTGATAATTATATACGCGGTGTATTTGAAACTGAGTGGCCTACACCAAAGACAGCCTATTGCTTTTTGATCTTTTTTAAATCATTTCTGGATACTGGCAAAAAGGTCCCATAGATACGTGGTGGAGAATGATGGAGGGTTTTTTTTGCGTTAGATCGCATACATATAAATGTGTCGTATATTGGTCACGAAAGCCTACGTGTAAAAACTGGTGAATGATATTTCAGAGCAGTGTGTGTCTGAGTGGGGAGCGGTGGCACAGTGGGGTTCTTTTTTTAGTGTACCACAATCTCATTGATCACATTACTGCAGAGGGACACAATGGGGCCGTGATTGGCTGGCAGAAAGTCTTTAACACAGTTTACAAATTTACAGCTCCCAATACCAAGCAAGCCACTTCCCGAGTCTCAGCAATGGGTTGGAAATCGGCACCAATGCACAAGGGCTTTGGTTCTTTTACAAACGTAAATTTATCGGCGGCAACAAAAAACAAATACAAATAATAACACTCCCCAAACCATTTACAGCATGAACGCGATATCAAGCTCACGTCACACTTTTAAAGGTTCACAGTGGCTAACGCGCTGCGCTCCGAAACCGGCGACCCGAGTTGGATTCCCCGTTGATGGTCGACACCAGTGACGATTATCTGAACCGGTCCTGGGTCTCCCCTAGGTCGACTCCGTTTCAAATTAGTACCTGGTGCGGTGTGCAAACATTGCCACGAGGGAGGAACATGCGGTCGGGCGTGGTGCTGGCCACCCACCCCTCCTTGTGTGCCGTGTCGGCGTCGCTGATAAAGGACAACAGTTTGTTAAGGCTATAGTAGGGGATCTTTTTCGGTTTCAAAGCAGTGTGTACGTGATGTATGAGAGCAGTGTGTGTGTCTGGAGTAATGTTTGAGAGCAGTATATATTTGATGTATGAGAGTGGAGCGTGTGTGAGTGACGTTTGAGAGCAGTGTGAGTGATGTTTGAGAGTGGGGTGTGTGTCTGTGAGTGACGTGTTACCAAATGTGCAAAATGTATTATTATTCCTAAGTACATGTACGGCTATTTTGTCAATCCACTGCTGCATGATGGCCTCCCAACAAAGTACAGGTAATATGGCCTCCCAACAAAGTACAGGTAATAGGGCCTCCCAACAAAGTACAGGTAATATGGCCTCCCAACAAAGTACAGGTAATATGGCCTCCCAACAAAGTACAGGTAATATGGCCTCCCAACAAAGTACAGGTAATAGGGCCTCCCAACAAAGTACAGGTAATATGGCCTCCCAACAAAGTACAGGTAATATGGCCTCCCAACAAAGTACAGGTAATATGGCCTCCCAACAAAGTACAGGTAATATGGCCTCCCAACAAAGTACAGGTAATAGGGCCTCCCAACAAAGTACAGGTAATATGGCCTCCCAACAAAGTACAGGTAATATGGCCTCCCAACAAAGTACAGGTAATAGGGCCTCCCAACAAAGTACAGGTAATATGGCCTCCCAACAAAGTACAGGTAATATGGCCTCCCAACAAAGTACAGGTAATATGGCCTCCCAACAAAGTACAGGTAATATGGCCTCCCAACAAAGTACAGGTAATATGGCCTCCCAACAAAGTACAGGTAATATGGCCTCCCAACAAAGTACAGGTAATATGGCCTCCCAACAAAGTACAGGTAATAGGGCCTCCCAACAAAGTACAGGTAATATGGCCTCCCAACAAAGTACAGGTAATATGGCCTCCCAACAAAGTACAGGTAATATGGCCTCCCAACAAAGTACAGGTAATATGGCCTCCCAACAAAGTACAGGTAATATGGCCTCCCAACAAAGTACAGGTAATAGGGCCTCCCAACAAAGTACAGGTAATATGGCCTCCCAACAAAGTACAGGTAATATGGCCTCCCAACAAAGTACAGGTAATATGGCCTCCCAACAAAGTACAGGTAATATGGCCTCCCAACAAAGTACAGGTAATAGGGCCTCCCAACAAAGTACAGGTAATATGGCCTCCCAACAAAGTACAGGTAATATGGCCTCCCAACAAAGTACAGGTAATAGGGCCTCCCAACAAAGTACAGGTAATATGGCCTCCCAACAAAGTACAGGTAATATGGCCTCCCAACAAAGTACAGGTAATATGGCCTCCCAACAAAGTACAGGTAATATGGCCTCCCAACAAAGTACAGGTAATATGGCCTCCCAACAAAGTACAGGTAATATGGCCTCCCAACAAAGTACAGGTAATATGGCCTCCCAACAAAGTACAGGTAATATGGCCTCCCAACAAAGTACAGGTAATAGGGCCTCCCAACAAAGTACAGGTAATATGGCCTCCCAACAAAGTACAGGTAATATGGCCTCCCAACAAAGTACAGGTAATATGGCCTACCAACAAAGTACAGGTAATATGGCCTCCCAACAAAGTACAGGTAATATGGCCTTCCAACAAAGTACAGGTAATATGGCCTCCCAACAAAGTACAGGTAATAGGGCCTCCCAACAAAGTACAGGTAATATGGCCTCCCAACAAAGTACAGGTAATAGGGCCTCCCAACAAAGTACAGGTAATATGGCCTCCCAACAAAGTACAGGTAATAGGGGGTATTTGACCATATTTGACCACGTTGGCCAGTGCGAT